TCTTCCCATAATTTTTGAGATATTTTTGATTACTGATTCAATTTCTTTGCTGGTTTATCAGTCTTGAACTTCAAGAAAACTTGAACAAGTTTTCTATTTCTTCATGTTTCAGTTTTGGTAGTTTATATGTTTGTAGGAATTTATCCATTTCTTCCAGATTGCCCAATCTGTTAGCATATAATTTTTCATAATATTCTCCTATAATTGTTTGTATTTTTGTGGTGCTGGTTGTGATCTCTCCTCTCTCATTTGTGATTTTATTTATTTGGGTCCTTTCTTTTTTCTTTTGATAAGTCTGGCTAGGGGTTTGTCACTTTTATTAATTCTTTCAAAGAACCAGCTCCTGGGTTCATTCATCTGTTCTACTGTTGTGTGTATGTGTCTGTATCATTCATTTTTGCGCTAACCTTTATTATTTCCCTTCTTCTGCTGGCTTTAGGCTTCATTTGTTGTTTTTCCACTAGCTCCTTTAGGTGTGAGGTTAGGTTGCATATTTGAGATTTTTCTTGCTTCCTGAGGTAGGCTTGTATTGCTATATACTTCCCTCTTATGACTGCTTTTGCTGCATCCCAAAAGTTTTGGACCATCGTGTTTTCATTATCATTTGTTTCCATGTATTTTTTAAAAATTTCTTCTTTAATTTCCTGGTTGACCCATTAATTTTTTTGTAGGATGTTCTTTAACCTTCATGTCTTTGTGGTCTTCCCAAAAATTTTCATGTGGTTGACTTCAAGTTACATAGCATTATGGTCGGAAAATATGCATGGTATGATCTCAATCATTTTGTACTTATTGAGGTCTGATTTGTGACCTAGTATGTGATCTATTCTGGAGAATGTCCCATGTGCACTCGATAAGAATGTGTATTCTGCTGCTTTAGGATGAAATGTTCTGAACGTATCTTTAAGTCCATCTGGTCCAGTGTGTCATTCAAAGCCATTGTTTCCTTGTTGATTTTGCCTAGATGATCTCTCTGTTAATGTAAGTAAGGTGTTAAAGTCCTCTACTATTATTGTATTATTATCAATGAATTCCTTTATGTTTGTTATTCATATTTGGGTGCTCCCAAATTGGGAACATAAATATTAAAATTGTTAGGTCTTCTTGCTGGATGGATCTTTTTATTATGATATAGTGCCCTTCTTCATCTCTTGTTACAGTCTTCAGTTTAAATCTAGTTTGTCTGATATAAGTACTCCTACTCTGGCTTTCTTTTGATGTCCATTAGCATGACAAATGGTTCTCTATCCCCTCACTTTCAATCTGCTGGTGTCTTTAGGTCTAAAATAAGTCTCTTGTAGGCAGCATATAGATGGGTCTTGTTGGGTTTTTTTCCCCCCCATTCGGACACCCTATGTCTCCTGATCGGTGCATTCAGTCCATTTACATTTAGAGTGATTATTGATAGATATGAATTTAGTGCCATTTTATTACTTGTTCTGTCATTTCTGGAGATTTTCTCTGTTTCTCTCTAGTCTTTGAAGCTTTTGGTCTTTCTTTCCCACTCAAAAAGGCCCCTTTAATATTTCTTGCTGGCCTGGTTTAGTGGTCATGAACTCCCTTAGTTTTTGTTTGTCTGGGAAACTCTATCTCTCCTATGCTGGATGACAGCCTTGCTGGATAGAGTATTCTTATCTGCATATTTTTGCCATTCAGCACGTTGAATATATCATGCCACTCTCTTGTGGCCTGCCAAGTTTCTGTGGATAGATCTGCTCTTAACCTCATTTGTCTTCCCTTGTAAGTTCAGGACTTCTTTGTCTTGCTGCTCTTAGGATTTTTTCTTTATATTTTGCAAATTTAACTTCTACGTTGTGGCCTCTTTGCCTCTAGTTGGGCAGTTTGTTCTGTCAGTCCTCAGATCAATTTCTTGGGTATTCAGAATGATTTGATATTTATCTAGCTGTGTTCAAGGGAAGAGGCAAGCCTAGGGTCCTCCTACTATTCTGCCATCTTAGCTTCTCCCAGGTAATGTTTTAAAATATTCATTTTCAAAGAGGCCTTAAGATTAGTAATAGAGAAGGATGTCTAATAGTTCAAGATTTTTACCGAAGCCAGCCTAGCACTATCTAGATTTCTAACCACTTGTTTCTTCCAATTTCAAAATTTCTTTCTAATTTGGGGTTTAAATAATTTATTAGCTAAGGCCCATCTACATATCTCATAAGGCACTGGTAGAAACAGACATTTTGAGTAATTACCTACGTCTAACCTGAAGCACTCTGATTCTCCTATACTACATTCAGATATCTGACCAAAAATTATTGGTTACCACTTTCCCTACCCCATTATGTGCCAGACACTATGCTAAGGCTTAGAAATACTGACATGAACACCATCAACACTGTCCTCCTCCTACATGCTTGTGAAGCTTCCTGAGGCAGTGCTATTCGAAAGCAATGCTTCTCAGACTTTTCTACCATGTAACCCAAGTATTCAGAAGCCTAGAGAACTCAAGGTAGAAAACAGTCTACTCAGTCTTCTGATTTATCCTTCAAATTCAGAGAGATATTGCTAGCCATGATATATCCACATTTGATTTAATTAAAAAACATTTCCCCTAAGAAATATGTTTGAATAAAATTGAATCTAATAATTTTATGCAACATAAAAGGAAGATATGTAACATTTCTACTGTGACTTATATACCCCAACCACATCTAGACCCCAGTATGAGAATCACTTTACTAAAGGAACAGCTGTCCAACATACTATATAAGATAGCAATCATACCTCTACCTCTCTTGGTATCCCTGGCATACTTTTGTCTTAATTTTCTTCATAGCACTTATCATAAACTGAACTTTTACATGTTTAAATGATTACTGTCTGACTCTTCCCCACTAGAGTATCAGCAAAACTCTATTCAGTTCACTACTCTGTTCCCAGTACCTAGAACAGTGCTTAAAATAATTGGCTTTCAGTAAACATTTGTTGAATAATTATTGAATAAGCAAATGAGAATCATAGCAATCCTCACTTTTATTTCTTATATAAGAAATCAAACTCCTTTATCATTATATATCTTCAGAATGTCCTTCTATGATGATAAAATACAAAATCTTTTAAAAGAACCTATTTCAGCTTTCTTACCCCTCCCCTTTTTTTAAAGATTTATTTATTTCTGGGGCACCTCGGTGGCTCAGGTGGTTAAGTGACCTGCTCTTGATTTAGGCTCAGGTCATGATCTCAGAGTCCTGGGATTGAGCCCCATGTCAGAGTCTGCACTCACTGCAGAGTGGGCTTGTTCCTCTCCCCCGCCCTTCGTTCCTCTCCCCACTTGCACTCTCTCATATAAATAAAATTTAATTAAACAGTAATTTAAAGATTAATTTATTTGAGAGAGAGAGAGAGTGCACAAGCAGGGGGAAGGGGCAGAGAGAGAGAGAAAATCCCACACACACTCCCTACTGAGTGTGGAGCTCGATGAGGGGCTGGATCTCACCACCCTGAGATCATGACAAGCTGAAATCAAGAGTTGAATGGGTAACTGACTGAGCCACCCAGGTGCCCCAGCTTTCCTACTCTTGATAAAGATTTTGTTCTAACATGTAGCCAACTTAAATTTCTACTCTAAGAGAGCTTCAAATTTTTATCCCCTTTTTAAAGGTTCCCTATGTTTCAGTTAGCCTAAGTTTTAAATACTCCCTTGAAGTTTTATAAATTCTTCGCCTAATATTTAGCTGGGGAAAGGAGTGGGAAGAAAGGAAGTAAAATATAGGCAGAAGTAGTTGATGACTGGATGAGTGCTGAGAAAGAAAGAGATGATATTGGAGATGATACCATCAGTTTTGCTAATGAAATCACTGAAGGTTGATCATCAAGCTAACCAGAGAGTTACCCCTTTCCCAGGTCTTGGTTACTTAAGTACACAAATTAAGACTGTCTGCTTACTTCGGATCACTCAGTTGGGAATCTTTAGACCTGCTCAGTCCAAATCAATAGCCACTAGCACAGGGGGTCTCTGACACTTGAAATGTGGCTAGAGTGAAGACCTGAACTCTAAATTTTAATTTTTATTCAAATGTAAAAGCTGAAGCAACACTAACCACATTTATTGTTTGGGTAGAACTACATTTCACTTTAACTGGTGCATCACATAAATTATTATCGTATTTAGTAGTATGCGTTACATCTTAGGTTTTTTTTACCTAGCTATCAAAAATTTTAAATTACACACATGGCTTGCATCATATTTCTATTGGACAGCACTGCTCTGCAACAGTGGTCCTCAACTGGGGACCATTTTGTCCCCCAAGGAACATCTGTCAACATCTAGAAACATTTTTGGTTGTCACAACTTGGGAGTGCTACTGGCATCCAGTGGATAGAGACCAAGGATGATACTAAACATTCTACAACACACAAAATAACTTTGCTTTGGAAACAAAATATACCTAAATACCACCACCACCGCTACCTCAGTTCTTTTATCAGAATACAACAAAGAAAAGCACCCATTACGTATGTCAAGCACCTATTACATAAGGAAGTAATGAGGGACGACAGGATGGCTGATGTTTAGAAAAAAGCTTTTGTGGAAGAGGAAGAATTTATGATCATAGAAGAAGGCTCGTATGATTTTAAAAGGCAAAAACAGAAGGATGAGGAATAAATTCTCTTTTATTGTTAGAATAAAGGAAAAAACTATCAACAAAATGCACATGAAAAGGAATTAGAAGTCTCAGGCTAGTCAGGACCAGAAACTTCTGCAACAATTTAGGGAAAGAGGTCTTGAGGCCTTAAGCTAAGTATACTGCAGCTCAGAAAGAACAGATGGAATAATTATCCCTTAATATTTTGAAAGCAATTTTTTCTTTAAACATCCTAATCATATATAGCGTATAAACTATTTCAAGAATGATAAATGAGCATTATAATGTGCTTAAATAAAAATAAAGTAGATCACCACTTTTTTCATTATTAATCAGTAGTCCCAAATTAGATTAGACCAAGTCTCAAGCTAAGGCTGAAAAAAGCTTTTAGGCAGACAACATTACCTTTCTGTGTCAAGCGCCTCCTCATTTTTCATCCATCTAATGGTTGGAGTAGGAAGTCCTGAAGCAACACACGGCAACACTGCACTCTGACCAATGACTCTGACTAAGGAAGAAGGCTGTTTCAAAAATACCAAGTTTGAAGTGAATTCAGGATCTAAAAAATTAAAAAACAAAAGACATTAATTAAGAAAGCACTTTACTACTTTAATGATGAGGAATGGCAAATTCCTATTCAGTCTGTGTGGCTTTATTATTTTATTTTTTTTAAGTAGACTCCATGCCCAGTGTGGGGCTTGAACTCATGACCCCAAGATCAAAAGATGCATGCTTTACCAGCTGAGCCAGCCAGGAGCCCTATGTGGCTTTACATAACAAAATATTTTAAGCAAAAGTGACACAAGAACCGCCCATTTAAATTAGCAAACATTTCCGGGTGCCTGGGTGGCTCAGTTGGTTAAGTGTCTGACTCTTGATTTCGGCTCAGGTCATGATCTCAGGGTCATGAAATCGAGCCCTGCTTTGGGCTCCATGCTCAGCAGGGAGTCTGCTTGAGATTCTTTTTCTCCCTCTCCCTGTGCCCCGCCCCCAAAATAAATGTATAAATCTTAAAAAAATAAATTAGCAAACATTTCCTTAATCACTTTGATGTGTAAAGCACTGTGCTAGGCTCTCTGGGGACCTTAAGGATGTAGAAGTTGTAGCTCCGAACTTCAAGGTGCTTACTAGTCAACTGAAGGATATTTGACAAGAATCCCCTTCACATCAAAAGACTGAATAAAGTAAATGTTTCATGAGTGGCACAAAGAGAGAAAAGACTGAGCAAGCTCAGGACCCTTAACAGCATCCTCTCCATTCATAGGGATATCGTAAGAGGTTTCCTTTACATCCCTACATCTGTGTGTTACTTCTAAAAATCTTTCTGAGTTTCATCTCTTTAACTCATTCACTTAGTCTGTCAATCCCTTGATTTTTATAACGGTACGACTGTTAGGCTGCTCCTGTGTGTGTTCACTTTATACAGCTGCCCTCTTATAGGTATCTAAAAAGGCCACACTCTAATGGGTAGAAGACAGGGTTCTCTTCTTGATGGAGTGGTATTTCCAGTGTTCAGTTTTGAGAAAAAAGACTGTTCTCAGTAAAGAGATAGAACTCTTGTCCCCATACTCTCAGGAAAAGATGCTCTACAGCCTTGCTAACAACCACCAGGGCTGGCTTTAGACTTGCGTAACTAATGGATGACAGTTCTATAGCCATGGTAACAAGCAAACACTGTCTATTAGATGAGTGACAGCTCGCTTCAGTGAACATGCCTTTGAAAGCCAGCCAACGAGTGATAGCCTCAGGCTTTAAAAGTCAGCCATTCAGAAGTGGAATCACTTGCTTCTATAGCTGACATTAACCTGCTCCCACCTCCGCAACCAACCATAAAACATGCTTCTATGGCTGACATCAACCCACTCTTGCCTCTTAACCAACACATCAAAAATAACGTCTTCCCCAAAATTCTATACGAGAGCAGCAGTTTGCATTATTCAAGACTATGCTTAACAACTATGATTTTTCCTCACTTAAGTAAATAAAACATTATTTTGTTTTCGTTTCAGATATTGAATGGTGGTTCATCCTCTGACACTGAAAATCTTTTTTTCCTTGGATCTGGTTTTGAGGATTTGCTTGAATGGTACCCCAGAGAAGAAATAGGACCTCTGCCATGTAAAAGCAAGTCAGGAAGTAGACTAGAAGATGCTGCAATATGGCAATAGTTTTCTTGTTTTCCCATTGGGATTTAGCTACATTTAATCATATTTTGATAGAAACAAATAAATTTGAACAAATATTCACTGGCTTCTATGTGTCAGTTACCATTCTTGGCAGCAGACAAAATTCCCTACCCTTGGTGACCTTATATACTACTAGGGGAGAGAGACAAGAAATAAAAGACATTGTATGTCAGACAATGGATATGTTCTGAAGTAAAATTAAGGGGGAAAGAGGAAAGTACCAGGGTGGATATGGAAGACTGTTGTTTTAAACAGTGGCCAAGGAAGGCTTAACAATGAAGTGATATTTGAGCAGAGAAATAAGACGGTTGTGTCAGGCAGACATCTGAGGGAAGAGAATTCCAGGCAGGGCAAATGGCAAGTAGAAAGACCCCAAAGCAAAAGAATGTCTGGAGTGTTCTGGAAACATAAGGTGGTCACAATCATAGAGTGAGGGAGAGAAGAGTACCAGATGGAAGGAGAGAGATGGTGAGGAAGGGGGCACTAAGAGTATACAAAGCCTTACAGGCCAAGGACTTTGCTCTAAGATGAGAAACCATTAGGTTTTGAGCAAAGATGTAACATGATCTAATATATATTTTATTTTATAATCTAATATACATTTTAAAAAATAACTGTGGCTGCTAAGCTGAAAATACACAGGGACAGGAATGGCAAAGGCATGGATGATGATGACAAAGAAAGAAACTGCCTTAAAAAAAAAAGTCAGTTCAAAGCCCATCAGGAACACCCTCAAGCGTCGCTGCTCCCAACACTGGGCTCACCTTGCAAGCCAATCCATAGACTAAAAATTAGCCTACAAAGTAGTTGTATATAAAAAATCTGCCCAAACAATGTAAAGATGGCCCCATTATATTCATAAACTCAGGTTTGAAGAAAGAAATGTGGAATTAGGCACGCAGCAGTGGGAACAGAAGCTGAGAGGCCAGGAGGCAGCAGGAGGCTAGCATGCCTGGGAAGAGCAACACGTGAGAGGAAGTTATGAGTAAGCAGAAGTTACACAGCTGAAAAAAGACACACAAAACAGAGGAGGAGAGCCACCAGGGGCAGAAAGAGTGAGAACCCACAAAGCGAGGGAAGAAGTGGCTAAGTTTACATTAAAATGGGGGAACGCTATAAAGATCCAAGAACTCTTGCCTACCAGTGTCTCCAGAGCTGCTCTATTAGTTAACACGCTGCCCAACCCTTACATGAACTAGCCCGAGGGAGTCTCGGATTTTGACAAGAGATCTAACTACATCAAGTATCCCATTCCAGGGAAGGAGCAGATAGAGGCTTGACAAAAGACACAGACCTAGGGTGTCTTTGGCCAAGAAGAATGCCATAGGTACACTTTATCGCTTCATAAATTTCTATTAATGTATTCACTAAAGAGTAAATCTTTCTGGCACATTTTCTTCTTTTCTCTGCCTATAAGAAACTGAGACTCCTTATGCTGACATTAATTTGTCACACCATAGATTTAACAGTGTTTATTTAAAAAGAAAATTCTAACAACAATTTTCATCCATTAATAAACATAAAACCACAAGTCCTGATAATAAGTTAATACCTGGAAGAACTTTCAATTCAGCTTCATCGCTATACTTTGGTGGCCCACCACTTTCAACTATGCAGCGATAAAGTCCCCCATCTCCTTCAGTAGTGTTGCTGATAACCAGTGTTCCACTTGGAAGTTTGATAACTCTATCATCCAGAAGAAGAGGCTGTCTGTTCTGTTCCCACCTCACAAACGGGACCAAATCTACATTAACTTCACAATTCAGAATTGCACTGTTCCCAGCATAAACTGAAGAAGGTTCTGGTTGGCTGGCAAATCTTGGAAGACCTGGACAATAAAGGAAAAGAAGAAATAAAATGTAGTTTAATGTTACTTTAAAATGTAGTGTTGGGAACCAGGAGCAAGTCAGCCCATGTGGCCATATGTACGCTGGAACCAGGATCAAGAAGAAAAGTCCATGGGTCAGGAAACTGGCTACAACAGGGATACAAGTCAAATAAGTAAATGTACTAGGGATAATTGAAGTCACATTCCTCACAGTTGGAGAAGCAAGGTACAAATATGGAAAAGCAGAAGGGTAGAATAAATCCCATGGTATTGGTAGAATTAAGGCATCAGTATAAACTTACAGTTTTATGTAATTATATAGTTAAACATATACATACATATAAATGTATGTGTAAAAAATATACATTTCATACACAGTCATTACATACATATATATCTGTACATATATGTATATGCATAAATCTCCTAGCTCTGTCCAGAGTCCAAAATCAATGCCACTTGAGTAGCAATGAGGATATATGGTGACATAATCTTGATTTCTAAATACCATTTTCCACTACAAGGAACCAATGCTCCTTAAAGAGGCTGATTCTATGACTAGAATAAGGAAAATACAAGATAAACCTGGAACATCCTGTGACAGGAAGTAAGGAAGCATCCAAAGAACAATATGGACCTATCAAAAGGACACAGAAGTCAGACTGAAGGGAGTTTCCTCTGGCTCAATCTGGGATAATGATAATTGAGGCAGAAAAGAATGAATGGATGCTAAACTCACTGGTGAAAGGTGGATGAGGAATAGGATATATACAGAGCCTCAAATTAGCTCTTCCCAAAATACTGCTAATTAATAAAAGTATAAAATATTAACTTCACAGTGGAGAAACATAGCATAGACCATATTAACAAAGTAATAAAGGTTAACATAACCAGTAGTGAAACAAAATATCATACACTTCCTGATAGAATGCACTAAGAAGAACGCGGCATCATTTACTTCTGTGATATTTCTTCCCAAAATGCAAAACCTGAATCTATTCATAGGGGAAAATCAGAAAACACAAAATGAGACTAGGATAAACTAAAGAATGGTTTGAGACCAAAAGAGCCTAAACTACTAAATACAACATGTAATCCCAGACCAGAAAGGAGTGGCAGAGGGGCAAAGTTCCTGCTTTTGTTTTTTGCTATTAAGAACTTTATCGAGGGGCGCCTGGGTGGCTCAGTCGTTAAGCATCTGCCTTCGGCTCGGGTCATGATCCCAGGGTCCTGGGATCGAGCCCCGCATCGGGCAGCCTGCTTCTCCTTCTCCCACTCCCCCTGCTTGTGTTCCTGCTCTCACTGTGTCTCTGTCAAATAAATAAATAAAATCTTTAAAAAAAAAAAAGAACTTTATCGAAGCAACCAGTAAAATCAGAATGGTATCTACGGTAGTATCGTATTAAGATTGACTTCCTAAAATTGATGGATGGTTATTTAGGAGAGTATCTTTGTTTTTAGGAAATATACACAGAAGTATTTAGGTGGGGGTAATGCCTCCAACTTACCCATAATGATTTAGGAAAAAACACTGATTTGGGTATGTGCATATTGTGGGGGGTTATAAGGCAGACATAGTAAAATGTTAACAATTGGGTAATCTGAGTGAAGAGTATATGGGATTTCTTGGTTTCATTCTTGCAATAATTGTATGAGTTTGAAATTATTTCAAAATAAAATAGTGACAAAAATGTAGTCATACTCTGTAGATGCCACAGAATGTAGTGGTTAAGAGCCTAAGTTCTGGAGTCACATAATCTGCATGTGAATCCCAACCCCACCACTTCATGGCTGTGTGACATTAGCAAGTTACTTAACCTTGAAGTCTCAGTTTCTCCATCAGGAAAATGAGAACAATAAGAGACCTCATAGGGTGTTAAAAAGGTTAATACTTAACATAAATACTTCATATACAGCATATTGCCTTGGCAACATAAAAACTCAAATAGTAGGGGTGCCTGGGTGGCACAGTTGGCTAAGCATCTCACTCTTGGTTTCGGCTCAGGTCATGATCTCAGGGTCTTGGGTTCAAGCCCCACGTCAGGGTCCGCACTCAGTGCAGAGTCGGCTTGAGATTCTCTCTCCCTCTCTGCCCCTCCTGATCATGCCCCCCCCAAATAAATAAATCTGGAAAAAAAATACTCAAATAGTAGCTGCTATTATCATTAACAGTAACATCTAAAAAAGTGACTCTGAGACGCTGAGAACACAGCAAACTGTTTCTTTAAAGAGTAACAAACATAGTAAATTATGAGAAATAGTTCCAGGTTTTGCAGTTTTATGATGGTGAATTATTCCATATGGAAATAACACACAAGTTGTCTAGCCTTCTTACAAATTTTTTCTTATTTTTTATATCAAGGGGATTTTTGAAGGAAAGAAAGATAAAATTAGCCATACATCTACTTTACAGAAACCAAAAAATTAGAAGAATGGAATTAACAAAGATAAACAGAGAAACTAAGAAAGTAGGAAAAAAGGAAGCTGAAATAAAACCAAGAGCTAATTCTATTTTTAAAAAGCCAAATATTCTCCCCTCCTGAGGTCTCATGAAAATGAGTAACAACATATGTGGAACTGGCAGACAAGAGATTTCTACAAGTTTCTCAACAGGGAAAGCAGACGGAGGAACTGGTGCTGACATATCATGGCAGGAAGTGCTGCAGCCTCCTGCGCTCACAAGTAGGAGGCCCGTTTGTCCTGCTGCTTTCAGAGAACTGCAGGAGAAAGGAGAGAGAGTAGGAGCGAGATGGGGGCTGGACAAACAGAGATTAACAATGTCTGTATTCAGACCACCCAATGCCTCCACCTTGAGGCACAAAACACTCCTAGCCAGGCTACAGCCCAGGCAGTAAAACCAAAATTTCCGCTGTGGAGAAATGAGTGCAGAGAAGACGACTTCTCCTACCTAATTCTATGAGCTACCTACTTTGTGTTCTTTCACAAATTCCCCTTATGTGGTATATATATACAATGGAATATTATGCAGCCATCAAAAGGAATGAGATCTTGCCATTTGCAATGACGTGGATGGAACTGGAGGGTATTATGTTGAGTGAAATAAGTCAAACAGAGAAAGACATGTATCATATGATCTCACTGATATGAGGAATTCTTAATCGCAGGAAACAAACTGAGTGTTGTTGGAGTGGGGGGTGGGGTGGGAGGCATGGGGTGACTGAGTGATAGACACTGGGGAGGGTATGTGCTCTGGTAAGCGCTGTGAATTGTGCAAGACTGTTGAATCTCAGATCTGTACCTCTGAAACAAATAATGCAATATATGTTAAGAAAAAAAAAAGAAGAAGAAGGTAGCGGGAGGGGAGGAATGAAGCGGGGGAAATCGGAGGGGTAGACGAACCATGAGAGACGATGGACTCTGAAAAACAAACAGGGTTCTAGAGGGGAGGGGGGTGAGAGGATGGGTTAGCCTGGTGGTGGGTATTGAGGAGGGCACATTCTGCATGGAGCACTGGGTGTTATGCACAAACAATGAATCATGGAACACTTCATCTAAAACTAATGATGTAATGTATGGGGATTAACATAAGAATAAAAAATAAATAAATAAATAAATAAAAGAAATTCCCCTTCTTACTTGACTTGGCCAGAATCAGTTTCTATCACTTGTAACCAAAGAACACTAACCAATGTTCTTTTAAAGATTTTATTTATTTATTTGAGAGAGAGAGAGAGAGTATGAGGGGGGAGAGGGTCAGAGGGAGAAGCAGACTCCCCACTGAGCGGGGAGCCTGATGTGGGACTCGATCCTGGGACTCCAGGATCACGACCTGAGCTGAAGGCAGTTGCTTAACCAACTGAGCCACCCAGGCACTCCCAATGTTCTTTTAGAATGGCAATTTGGCAGAATCTTTTTGAAAAAAAAATTAGTTTTATTGAGATACAACTTATATACCATAAAGTTTATCACTTAAAGTCCACAATTCAACAGTTTTTAGGATACACACAAAGTTGTGCAACCTCACTAGAACCTAGCTGGAGAACATTTTCATCATCCTTCAAAGAAACTGTGTACTCAGTTGCAGTCACTCCCCATTCCCTGTGTTCACCCACCCAGCCCCTGTGCCCTTATCTCCCTCCCCCATCCTCAGCCCTAGAAAACCACCAATCTACTTCTTGGCTCCCTATATTTGCTTCTTCCGGACATTTCATATATATGAAGTCATATGATATGCGGCTTCTTTCACTTATCATGTTTTTCATGTTTATCCATGTTGCAGTACATAGAAGAATTTCATTCCTCTTTATTGCTGAGTAACATTCCATGTGTGAATATACCACATTTTGGTTAGCCGATCATCACTTGATACATTGTTTCCACTTTTTGGTTATTACGGATAATGCTGCTATAACCACTCATGTACAAATTTTTGTACAGATCTAACTTTTCATTTCTCTGGGGTTGATACCTAGAAATGGAATTGCTCAGTCATAAGGTAACTTTATGGTTAAAATTTTGAGGAACAGGGCGCCTGGGTGGCTCAGTTGGTTAAGCAACTGCTTTCGGCTCAGGTCATGATCCTGGAGTCCCGGGATCGAGTCCCGCATCGGGCTCCCTGCTCGGCGGGGAGTCTGCTTCTCCCTCTCCCGCTCCCCCCTCTTGTGCTCTCTCTCTCTCTCTCACTCTCTCTCTCTAAAATAAATAAATAAAAAATTTAAAAAAAAAATTTTGAGGAACAGCCAAATAGTTCAGTGCTCTTTTTAAAATTACACACACACACAAAGTATACACAAAAAAAATAAAATAAAATAAAATTACACACACACACAAAGTATATTCTATGATCCAGCAACTAATACAATTACTAATTCCAATAATCTTTTCTATAGAGATTTATAAAAGACTGTTCATTATACTACTGCCTTTAACATTAGACAATTTTTATTCATGTAACTGTTCATCAAAAAGGGAATCTTGGGATAAATCACAGTATATCTATACAATGGATATTATGCAACTATTAAAAGAACTTTTATTCATCTCTTAGCTCAGATCTTATTTCCTCCTGATACTCAGGCCATGAGTGAGTTAAATAACTCTCCTACAGAATCTTGTCTGCAGCCAAAGAATTGATTATATTGTATTGAAATTGGCTGTTTACTAAGACATTAGACCAAAAAATGCTTCCTGAAGGATATGAAAATTAAAAAGAAGGATGGACAAATCCAGCAGAGTAGAAAGAGAGGAAAAAGTAGAGGACAGGCTTAATAGGCAGTGGGGAAGCCATGAGCAAAGGCCAGAGACAGAGAATAAAAGGGATTTGAAAATATTCAGTACTGGCAGAGCTTAAAATGTGTCGAAGGTGGTCCTGCTGCTTCTGATGGCAGGGAGAGAGGCAGGGCAGAGTGTTAAGAAATGAAGCTGAAGAGGGGGAACTGGGTGGCTCAGTCGGTTAAGTGTCCGACTCCTGATTTCAGCTCAGGTCATGATCTCAGGGTCCTGGGATCCAGCCCCACATCAGGCTCCGTGCTCAGCAGGGAGTCTGCTTGAGATTCTCTCCCTCTCCCTCTGCCCTTCCCCACTCCCCCTAAAATAAATAAATAAATCTTTAAAAAGGGAGGGAGGGAGGAAGCTGGAGAAGTGGAGGCCAGCTCATGAAAAGACTTAGAGGCCTGTTTAAGAGTTTAGACATCCACTTGATGTTGTCACTGAAGAGCTACTGAAGGGTGAGGAGAGAGCCTGACCACTGGACTGGAAGAGGGAAAGAACGAGGCAGTGGACAGTTACAGGTGGTGTGAGGTGAGGGATGATGAGTAGTAGCCTCAGGATCACGTATAAAGAAACTAGGAAGCAGAATTCACTGGATTTGGTGAAAGGCTGTGGCAGACAGCAGAGAGGAAGGAGTCACGATTAAAGCCCAGCTTAAGAACATAAATGACAAAGAAGAGCTCACCTAAGTGACACTGTAGGGGCAGTCATAATGCTAACTTATTTATCCGCATGTTGGAGAAAGCCTGGCAAGCAGATCAGAGGAAGAAAGGAAGGGAAGGAAGGAGGGAAAGGAAAAAGGAAGGAGAGAAGGAAAAGAAGGGGAAAAAAAAAGAAAGGAAAGGCTAATTATCAAAAGAAGTGACTTTTTTCCCCTTTTCTTTTTCCATTCTCAGTCTGTGATTATGGAATAATTATAGTAGCTTTATATCACACTCAAATTCAGCTATGAGTATCTGGTTCCAAAAAGAAAAAGAGCCATGATTCTCTGAATGAATGAGCAAATATAGCCTGGAGTGAGCGGGAAATGGGGTGCTCTCACCCTACAGTGGCAATGAGATGGGAAACTATTCTGTTGCTCATTTTCTTTTTTTCACATGTTAGCATTTTACCAAGATGAGTATAAACATAAGACAATTTCTGTACAATGTGACCCTTGACAAAAACTAACTACACTTCATCTAGTACTCAAATGAAGAAACACTGACCCGAGGAATACCAGCATCTACTACAAGACACTCATGACTTACTCAGCTTACGCTTCCATTATTCTTCATATAAGAATGCTCTAAAAGGGAGTGAATGTTTGTCTCTTTACAACGTTCTGCTCTTCACCTTAATACCCACATCCTACAGGTTTTTAAATAATTAATCCAATTAAATGTCATTTCCTTGGCTTGGGCATAAAGGAACCAAGATTCTGGTTATACTGCAAGTTTTACAAAGCCATACTAAGTGGTTATGCTGGGGAGGATAAAAGTTAGCAATCAAAGGGAATCAATTTTCCTATACAACTTCCTCTGTCATTTCCAAGTTAAAAAGAAAAGAACGGACTTAATACTTCTGATCGCAGCTATTAGCAATCTAAATGACAGAAAGTGGAGAAGTGCTACAGTTTATTCCCCATGGCACGAAGCAAGTCTTAGCAGAATGCCATGCACCTAGCAGATGCTCAATTGATACTTGTTAAGTGAGTATATTTCTTGTTACCAGTTAAATGAAAACTCTAGGATAATACTGCTTTTTATCAAAAGATATGCCCTTTATAAAAATTTGAAAATACAAATAAGTTACTTTTGAAAAACTTACCTGCTACTGTGAGCTTGGCTGTTCTGCTGACAATAGTTCCAAGACTCTCAACAGTGGCCACACACTGATAATAACCTTCGTCAGGTTTATTGTGTTTGGAATGCACCACACTGCTGATAAATAAAGACCCATCTGAGAGAAGCTGGCGTCGGTCATCTGATACTAAGTTTAAAAAAGTTCCATCTTTTTTCCATTCAATTTTTGGAGAAGGTTCAGAATATGCTGAACAGTTCAATATAACAGAAGAGCCTCTAACTGAGAGCGTATCCACTGGCTCCACCAGAAAATAAAATGGAGTGAATGTTCGAACGCTGGATCCTACAAAAATAACAAAAAGAACAAAGTTAAGCAAGCTTTCTTCTTCTATTTCTGTAAGAAATGCAATTTGTATAAAAGTTATTGTTAAATAATTATGCTGTTTGGATATGATACATAATAAGTCATTTCACTATTAGTATCTAATAAATAAAATTTTACTAGGAAATAAAAATATGACCCATTTAGAAGAAGATGAAAAAAAAGACCCTGCCAGATGACATAATCCAACGTTGTTAGATTACATGAATATCTAATAAAAGTTTTATGTCAAACCCTACAATGGGATTTATAAATATTTAAAATTATTTTATTCAAAGTGAAATTTTCTATGAAACACCAAGGAAGCAGAAAACAAATGATTCTTTGTTATTAAGTTATGTTTACTGGCTATATTTGTTTCATAAATTCACCATACATACACTTTGTCCATTTTTCTAGTGGATTACTCATCCTATTGACTTAGCAATTTTGGGGCATAGCTATCATGTTTGCAAATATTCTTTTTTCCCCTTTGACTTTATTTTTGTCATAAGAAAACAAATTTTAACTATATAAAATTAAATCTGTTATACTTAAAAAGATTTTTATTCCAAGATTATAAAAAATTTCAGCTTTGTTTTGTGCTAGTACTTCTGTGATTTCATTTTCTACATTTAATCTTCATCTATAATTCATTTTTTTTTTAAGTAGGGAACTCACAACCCTGAGATCAAGACCTGAGCTGGGATCAAGAGTCAGATGCTTAATCAACTGAGCCGCCCAGGCGCCCCTAGAATTCATTTTGATGTAAACAGCACAGGAGGGATCAGTTTAATTTTTCTAAGTCCTTAGAAAAATTCTTTGAACATGAGAAGTTCCTGGCCAGTTCCCTGAACATGAGAAGAACACAATTTTTTTTTTTTTAATTTACTATAGAAAACTCCATACTGTTTTCCAGAGTGGCTGCACCAGCCTGCATTCCCACCAACAGTTGGGTTCCCCTTTCTCCACATCCTCACCAACATTTGTTGTTTCCTGTCTTGTTAATTTTTGCCATTCTAACTGGTATAAGGTGGTATCTCATTGTGGTTTTGATTTGTATTTCCCTGATGGCTAAAAATAGAGCTACCCAATGACCCAGCAATTGCACTACTAGGTATTTACCCCAAAGGTACAGATGTAGTGAAAAGAAGGGGCACCTGTACCCCAATGTTCATAGCAGCAATGTCCACAATAGCCAAACTGTGGAAGGAGCCAAGATGCCCTTCAACAGATGAATGGATAAACATGTGGTACATATATACAATGGAATATTACTCAGTCATCAGAAAGGATGAATACCCACCATTTGCATCTACATGGATGGAACTGGAGGGGATTATGCTAAATGAAGTAAGTCAAGCAGAGAAAGACAATTATCATATGGTTTCACTCACATGTGGAACATAAGGAATAGCATGGAGGACCACAGGGAAAGGGAGGGAAAACTGCATGGGAAGAAATCAGAGAGGGAGACAAACCATGAGAGACTCTGGACTCCAGGAAACAAACTGAGGGTTATGGAAGGGAAGGGGGATGGGGTAACCGGGTGATGGGTATTAAGGAGGGCACGTGATGTGATGAGCACTGGGTGTTATACACAACCAATGAATCATTGAATACTACATCAAAAACTAATGATGTACTATATGTTGGCTAACTGAACATAATAAAAAAAATTGCTATAAATCTTATATTCTCAGCCAGAGAAAACTTTCCAACTTAAAGCTTTACCTCTTTTCTTTAAGAAGAGTACTGACCGAATCCCTTGTAATCAGACTATAATCAATTCTAATCAGATTTCTTCATGTGAACAATTAGGGAGGCTTAGGCCAATAGATGAAAACAAGACAGTTTTTAAAATATATCTACACACCCCTTTATCTATAATTTATTTACACTGTGATTTTAAGAATGACGCTAGTTCTTTACTACGTAATGAAAGAGTGGTTCTAAATAAATATAAAATATACTGGCAGAGGGAAGGGAATAATATTCACTTGTTTTAAATTTTTCAAACACTTACAATGTGAATCAAATTCCAAACAGACTAATCTTCCTTTCCCAAACACCATGAGGTGGGTTCCATCCCTATTTAATGATTATGAAATTGATTCTTCAAGTCTTAAAACTCTTGAGAATGAGCTTAGGAATTTTTCAAAAGTAACCTGCAGGGATTTGCTTTTTACTACTGTAAAAAATGTTACATTGATACAATAGTAAAATAAAAATATCAACTCCAGGGCAATACAAAAAGATTGCTAAACTAAGAGAAATTACTTTTATACCGTTCCTGTGTAACATTAAATCTTTATTATACCATCCAAATTAAACAATTCAGGAACTTAAGAGAGAAATGTGTTAGACTGGCAGTCAAAATATGCAAAGTTAACAGCTTAAAATAATTATTAATAAACAAATTTCATTTTAAAATTTGGACAAAGTTTTGCCATTTAAAAAATAATAATTACACAAACGTAAATTTTTCACAACTTAACATTCTATCTTGCCTTTGATTTTCTTTGATTTTCTTTTTTTTTTAAGATTTTATTTATTTATTTGAGAGAGAGAGAGAACGAGCGAGGGGAAGAGCAGAGGGAGAGGGAGAAGCTGACTCCCTGCTGATCAGGGAGCCCCAAGTGGGGCCCAATCCCAGGACCCTGGGATCATGACCCCAGCCGAAGGCAGACGCTTAACCAACCAAGCCGCCCAGGTGCCCCTGATTTTCTTTCATTTTAAAAGTCCTTATCAACCAAGTTGAGCAAGAGTATATGCCTTCAAAAAATTTTTTTAATTATAGGGAAGTTGACAAATGCCTTTGAAAACCAAGGCCCTTCAAAATTTTACCACAAATATGTACTCTACATTACTTAGAATACAGCATTACTTAAATATTTATGTCTATCATCTTTGTATTTTATTCCCTCAGTAAACACACAGTGACCTAAGGTACTGTTCCTTCGCTTAAAATCCCTCAAAGGCTTGTCACTGTCTTTTACAAACTTAGTAAACTCCCTCTCTCCTCACCCTCTAAGGCTTGCTGCATCTCTTGTCACCCCCCTTAGCTCCTGCCCTCTTCACACAAGCTACTCCCACCACCACCCCTCTCCAACTGACTCCAAGTCTTCCTTCAAGCTCAGCTTAAATACTACTTTCTCAGAAATGCTGTCTGTGCCTGGTGCCCAGACAAGATTAGTTTCGTCTTGTTACAAGCCGGCATGGCATACAGTACCTACATAGCACTTCAAATGTTCTTAATCTTTAAATATTTGTAATAACTTGTTTGTTAGGGCACAGAAGTTCCCAAAGTTTCTTGACTCCTGGTGCCCTTATTTTTTTAATTTTTTTCACCAATTCTCTAGGCTAAAAGAAATACCTAACAGCTTTGTTTATGTAATAGTTAGGTTCAAACAAATGAATCAATATTTATGTCCTAACAAGTTAGTATCCTATTGAAAAGATAATACAGGCAAATTGAAAAATATTTTAACTTTTAAACAACCACAACTAGTTATCATGGGATGTGTGCACATATTGGACACTGCATGAGTTCTCAAACCTTGAAATCAAATTGGATACTGCCATCCTCTAGGACAACTGGTTACCCACATGAGGAAAAAAACAAGAAGCCTACTTACAACATGTAATAACAGTAAACACTTAACATGTTTCTATGTATCAGAGACTGCTCTAAACCTTCTCTACATACTAACTACTCATTTAATCTCCACTACTATCTTATTATAGGTACTACTATTATTCTCATTTTAGAGGAGAAAACTAAAGCATAGAAATGTTAAATACCTTGTCCAAGGTCACACAGATAGTAAATAACAGAACCAGAGTCTGTGATCTTAACCACACTACACTATAATGCCACTTATATACATATACAAAAATACATTCCAGACCTATGAGAAAACTATGTAAAAAAAAATTTAGGGGGCGCCAGGGTGGCTCAGTTGGTTAAGCATCTGCGTTCAGCTCAGGTCATGATCCAGAGTCCTGGGATGGAGCCCAGAGTCAGGCTCCCTGCTCAGCGGGGAGTCTCTTTCTCCCTCTCCCTCTGTCACCCCACCCTCCGCTTGTGCTCTCTCTCTCACTCTTTCTCTCTCAAATACATAAATAAATAAATCTTTTAAAAAAGATTTTAGGAAAATACAAGGATAACCCTGGTGTCAGGCAACCTTTTAAATCAAAATAGGGAACTTCAAAGTTAGAAAAGATAGATATGTTTCACTTCATTGTATTTAAATTTTGAAAACTTTAAGGCAAAAATATCATGACAAAGCAAAATATGACAAGACTGGGAGGAAATTTATCACATGTAACAAGAATTTTAAAAGTCACATCACTCAATAAAAAAAATGGATAAGGCTGTGTTCCAATAAAAGTTTATAAAAACAAGCAGCAGGATGCATTTGATCCATTGACTCCTGCCTTAAAATATTTAGCCAGCAAAAAATAAGTGAGCCACATTTCAGCTGATCTGGAATGAATTCTGAGAAAAATGAACAATGCAGACAAGTATAAATAATAAAATGTCTGTACATATGACTATATGAGCACCGAGAAAGTAGCAAAGTGTACCAGGTTGTTACCACTGATTTACTGGGAGGAGATGAGTAGATAAAAAGCTTCAAGCACACAGAAAATAATTTCATAATAAAAATCAACTAATGTGTATAATCCCTTTATAAGTATTATACGTGTTGTGGTAGGTGTGGGTGAAGGGGTACATTTTTTAAAAACTAGTCATTAAAATGTGGATTATCTCAGGGTGGTGAGATTTCAGTTGACTTTTAATTTCTTCTTTCACCTTTGCTATTGCATGAATATTTTACATGAAACACAATGTTGTTCAAGCAGAAATAAAGCTATTTTCGTATACAGTCTGCACAGGAAAAGGACAATATGAAAAGTCTGGGGCATATTCACATGCCAACATTCAAAAACTTAAAATATATATACTGTTAAATAAAAAATACTCAAGTTTAAAATACATATAGTATGACCCCACCTACATAAAAATATATATACATGTACATATATGTGTGTATGCATACATTTAAATGTAAATAATGTATGGAAGAGGTGCCTGGATGGCTCAGTAGGTTAACTCTGACTCTTGATTTTAGCTTAGGTTGTGATCTCGGGGTGGTGGGATCAAGCCCCACATCGGGCTCCATACTCAGCAGGTAGTATGCTTGAGATTCTCTCCCTCTCCCGCTGCCCCCCCCTCCCCGCTCATACACATACTCTTTAAAATAAATAATAGTTGAACACTACATCAAAAACTAATGATGTACTATATGTTGGCTAACTGCATAATAAAATATATATAAATTTAAAAAATAATAAATAAAAATGAGGGTCATGATAAAAGTTTTAAAATTTAAAAAAATTAAATAAATAAATAAAATCTTAAAAAAAATAATAACGTAGGGAAAGGGCTAAAAGAATAAACACTGAACAGTTTAACAGTGTTTTCTCCTGGGGAACTAATGGGATTCAGCTACTGATGGAGAGCATACAGGGGGAAGGCTTTTTACTCCATGGATTTCTGTACTGCTTACTGCTTAAAATATGAACAACTGCTTATGCTTTCTTCTTGTCATCTTTTTCTGTTTTAAAAACAAAATAACTTTTGTTATTGGCGGTAAATAATCCTTTCTTGGGAACAGAAGATTTTTTAAAAAGAAGATCTACCACCATTTCTTTTTTTTATTAATTTTTATTTAAATTTTAGTTAACTTACACTACAATACTGGTTTCAGGAGTAGAATTCTGATTCATCACTTACAACACCCAGTGCTCAGATCTATCACCGCTTCTTTAACCATTTTTCCTCTGTCACAGAAGAGTTATCAGACACCCACTCCTTGGCTGACTTTGTATAAAAACTGGCCTATATTTCCCACCAGGGTCCTAATTCCCTATCCACTTAAATTTGCTTAATTTTAGTTTACTATGACCACAGTCACGATACACATTATTCTGAAACAGGCTTAATGATCCTGTCTGATCTCTTCTACATTCCCTGGTCTCTGCAAATTTCTCACTTTTTAATGGAATAGCTCTCACTTCTTGATAGACTATTCCTCACTTTTTGATAAAATACTTCACACTTCTTGATAGAATTCCATCTTATGAAAGGAAAATACCCACAGGGAACTTATCTCAGTTATATTCCCTCCGCCCCAAATATCAACAAATCCTATCACTCACTGCACACCAGCATGGCCAATAATTCTAAATTTTATCATGTCCAGAGTAAAAAAATAACATACAGTATTTGAATACTGGCAGAAATAAAATGAAATCTGTCTTATTGCCCGCAGAGGTTCAGAGTTTGACAGCATCAGAAATGCAGGACAGAAAGGTAAGCAAGCCTTTTTACATGCCTACAAATGTAAGCATTCTGTATATAATGTTATTCATCCTATGAAAATTATGTCTTCATTATAAACTAAGACACTAATGCCAAAGGACTTCATACCTCTTTTACTCCTTAATAACATTACTTTGACCACCCTATCCTACCCAATCAGTCTGTAAATCCTACATTTCATCCTTCCTGATTGGTGTCCACTCTTGCCATATAGCTTAGTCTCTCTTGCTTCAAGTTCTCAATTTAAAATCAAAAAGTCTAAAAATTAGAAAGTTAAAATAATACTCAATTCAAAGGACTCAAAAAGATAATATATTCACATCACTGATTAAGAATAAGCAATACTTAAGAGTTAAATGTTTTCCACCCTCTTTTGCTGCATAACAATTAGGACTCCCAGCTCCAGAGCTCAGTCCCTCTCCGCCCTGCACAGCCAGTTTCTCCAAAGACTGAATCTACAGAGATGCAGAACTCCTTTCCTGGAATTTCAAGTAAGGCATGTGGTTAGCTGTTAATATTATATGGATGGTTTCACTTGCATGATATACATATACTTTATGGGCATACCATAAAACAGTAGATGTCAACTTCTAACCAAAGCTGGACCTGAAATTATTTTTCAGGCTACTAATATCCTATTAGGGAAATTCAATTTGATTATTCTAATTTATAGCATCTACTCTCCCAACCATTCCCCCCAAATGAAAAATATCTGAATTTGTTTATTCAAGAAACACTCGTTATAATAAGAATGCTTTCCTTTTCTTCAATTTTCAGCCTTCCTCCTCTCCCCTCTCCCACAAAAAAAAAACAAAACAAAAAACAGCCACAGTGGAAAACTCTCTCATAAAATGAAGTCAAGCAGACATGATTTTGAATTCTAGCTCCGCTATTCTAGTTCATTTCTCTCTGTGTCTAAAATTCTCTCCCTCATAAAACAGGAAAAATAATGCCTTCCTTTCAAGGAAATCTCTGCGAAGACAGGTATAAAGCACCTACCTACTTCACTGCTTGGCAGATAGCAAGTCCTAGATAAAAAGTAACTATTCATAGTTCAAAAGCCTACCATATTTTCTCCCAAACTGCTAACATCTAGAACCTTAGTTTTCACCAATCACATTTTAGAAACTGCTATGCAAAATATGGACCTCATTTTTTTTACTTTTAATCACATTTTGGACAATTACATATAAAATAATATTAAGTGATCTTAAAACTCAAGTCTAAACATCTTTCTCCTCTGCCTAATTTTTCAACAGCTCCCCCATTACAGATAATGTAATCCAATTCATTACCATGACATTCAAAAGGGGCTGAAGGATCTGGTCCCTGCCTCTCTACAACCTAATCTCACATCATGCTCCCTCTAACTCAACAAGCTCTGGTAACATTCTTCAATTTCTTGAACAAGCCATGTTCTTTCCCATATTAGAGCCTTTGCATCTGCTGTCCCCTCTGCCTGCACACTTGCTCTGCACCCACTCTTCCATCACACAGCTAGCTAGTTTCCTCTCAGCTTCCATGTTTCGACCAACTGTCACTTCTACAGGGGCCTTCTCTGACAACTATCCCTGTGAAGGTCTTAGCCTCCTAATCCTACCCTTTATATGCTCTTCCCAGCAATTCACTTTCTCTCTGTTTTTAAGGCCTGTTTT